GGGGGGGGGGGGGGGGGGGGGGGGGGGGGGGGGGGGGGGGGGGGGGGGGGGGGGGGGGGGGGGGGGGGGGGGGGGGGGGGGGGGGGGGGGGGGGGGGGGGGGGGGGGGGGGGGGGGGGGGGGTGTATTTTAATGTCATTGTGAGTGTTATGTTTCTGTCATTTTGGCATAAAAAGTTGGATTATGTGGATTCTGTAGAAGCTTTTCTTTCTGTATTCTTTTTTCAATGATGTAGCTCTGCGTTTCATGCTAGTTTTGGTCAAATTTCATCATATTCTTAATTGCTGCTGAACTGGTGCATCCTGAGAAGTGGGAGGATTTTGAGGCTACTTTTTTTAGAGCTTGCCTGTAAGCTTTCAAGCAACAATTTGAAGATTATTGGTTTTGTTTTGCCTTTGTGAGATGGGAAATTCTGTTTGAAGTATTAAGGAAGTTAAGATGAAATCTCTAAGTAGTGTAGGACTTGGTTTGAGTGTGATTTTTGGGTGCCTTTTCTTGGCGCTTGTTGCTGAGCTTTACTACCTGTTATGGTGGAAGAAGAGGTTCACTGACAGAGAAGTTGAAACTGATTACAGTAGCCCAGCTAGAGAGCTATTTTACATGTTTTGTTGGAAAAGTTCATCTTCTTTAACCCGCACAGCTCTGAATCCTCAAGATCTAAGTTCATCAGTTAATATGCACACAAACAATGATTTCTTGCTGAAACCCTTTGGAGAAGATGGGATAGAAACAGAGTTTATGAGGCTCCAAAGCCTCTCAGGGCCACCAAGATTCCTCTTCACCATAATAGAAGAAACCAAGGAAGATTTAGAGTCTGAAGATAAGAATGGAAAGGAATCAAAAAGTAGAAGCTTGAGTGATCTGCTTCTTGCTGTGGAAACTCCATATTTGACTCCTTTAGCTTCTCCAACTCTTTTCACACCTCCTCTTACTCCTGCAGATTCTTATAAGCCCCATGGATTCAACCCTCTCTTTGAATCAGTATCAGATGCAGAGTTTAACAAGATAAGGTCATCTCCTCCTCCAAAGTTCAAATTCCTACAGGAAGCTGAGGAGAAACTCAAGAGGAAATTACAGGAAGAAGCTGAGAAATGTGTTCATAATAACACCATTGAACCTGTTGAAGATTCAAGAACTAAAGCAACCATGCAGAAGCTACTTCAAGATGAGGAGGATAAATCTTATATTACAATCGTCGTTGACAGAAACCAAGATTTGGAGCTGAATCAGTATCATTCAAGCAGTTCTTCACAGGTACTTCCTTTGCCATCTTCACCATCAAATTTCAGTTCATCCATCACCAAAAAGCCAATCTAACCATCATGATTGATTTACCAACCGAAGTCGAAATGGGTTTTTATTTTTATCTTTAAACTTGTAGCTTTTGAAGTGTTTTAAGGGTAAGAGAGTCTGTATTCTAATCTGCCATAAAAATTTGCTGGACAACATTCTCTGGGAGGTGGGCCTAATGCAAGTGGATGAATGGACTTGTGGGAAGCTTGTTTTATTCAATCTCCATGTCTCCTAAGCATGTCTGATACCTATAAATCCTCCATGAACTATGAACTATGAACAAATCCACACTACAAAACCATGAAAGAGCGCATCATGTAAATTTGAGGTCTCAAAGTTGAAAACTCAATAACTTTCCCTCTTCAACTTTATGTTAAGCCATAGATAGATGGATCGACAAAGGGTTTTGGGTATTTAGCTGTATGTGGCTTGAAAAGGTACCACTCAGAGCAAAGAGACAAAGGTGGAGAGGAGCTGGACAGGTTTTAGATGCTTTTTTCCACCTTTTTTTTTTTTTTTTTTTTTTTTCCTTAAAACG